TGCTTTTTAAAACTATGGGTTTCTAAGTTTTTAAAATCATGGGCAAGATATATTTAGGTTTAGTGTTTCATTTATTAAATGGTAAGTAAATGTAAAACGGTCTCTACGGACTACTTAATACACATGCCTTTCGTGGACATTTCGCACACCCTGGCCAACAATTGGCGAGTAACTTACGCCGATTGGCAATTACTTTCACCATTACGGCAATAAGATAGACTAATTTTAAATGTATGACCTAAACAAAAGGTCATCACCCAAAAATGTTGCGGCTCGTTGTAACATAGCAAATGACGGATGAGGCCCTGAAGGAAGAAAAGGTTGAGTAAGCTATACCTATAGCTGGTTTATGCCTACACTTTTTATGTTAGCTAAACTTTATGAAACGTAATTTCCGTTATTTTGTTAAGAAATTAATTTGTGGGTATTCCCCACGACCAATTTTATTATTCCTACGGTTTCCACTTGTAGTGTCCGCACCGCAGGGTTCGGTCAGTCACCTTTTGATCTAAAAATCTCAAAGATGTTTCCAATCACGTTAATCCACCGTGATCGCACATTACCATTTCCTTTCCCGCTTTCGAAGTAAATAAATAATCACGGGATTAGAGTATGCAAACTTCAAAACAATGGTTCATAAAAGTCATTGACGCCGCATATTATCATTTTATTAACACTTGTATTTATAATACCTATCATTAAAATGAACACTTCCTATATATTAATATTTTAATTCATGAACAATGTGGGTAGGTGTCGCTCTGTGCCTCTCAGTTACAAATATGATCACCCCATGTCTACCCAAATGTTATTTGCCGGCAAAATTTTAACAAAATGTACCTATGCTCAATGAGGTTGTCTAATACCTATACAGCTGAGTAAAGCCTAAAAGCCCTTATTTATGAAACATATTATAATAGGTGCATAAGCAAATATATGTAGTATCTACAGTATTTTGTCTCTCAATTGTTCCTAAAGCGCTTAAAAAACAAACTTTTCCTACTAATTTAGGAAATATGCGAATTTTTTTAATGATTTTTATAAAAATCGATAAAAATCTGATGCATGTATGGGATAGTATTAGGTATAGGGGTATACAAAAATAGGAAGTCTTAACTATTTACAATAACCACAAAACTTCGTTCAACATGCCTCACTCATTAATTTGGATGGTCTCTACTGTATTTAGCAATCAATCATTACTTTATATCTTCGCTATATTTAGTAAAGATCTCTTTGATGTATAATGGTCCTCACAGTCTGATGGAAAGTGTATGTAGGTACAAATCTGCGAGGTTACAACCGCCCACCAAGGCCCTTAGCTTATCGATAAATCTGACTGTAACAAGGTTCGGTCTGTCCAAATATATTGTAAATTCAATTTCCAAAACCGTTACCTTGGGACATTATGATGTATTTTTTGAATTTTTATCAAATATTACATTGATATTTCTAGTTAAAGATCAGCAGTGGACTTCGTCAATAGGTACTAAAATTAAAAAAAACTGGGATTTGCAAGACATTTTTAACCTAAAAAACTAATCTAACCTAAAAAACATCCCGCCCTGTATCGTGACCGGCTCAAAAGTTCCCATTATGCCAGCAGCATTGCCTCGCTGAACGGCAATGGACACTTACTGAACCAACCACGACCCAGAGCGGTAACCGCAGCCCCTCTCTCTTAGTCGGCAACCCAACTCTTTATACAAGTCCCGAGCTTCCGAACCCCAGGGCCCCGCCGTCTCGTCCGCGACCGGTACGAAGTCGTACATCGACTCCAAGACAGAGTATTTAACATGTTTTAGTTTCGCGGCATTTTCAGCTATGGAATCTGCCAACCGCGAAGTTTGTCTTAAGTGGGACGCAGCAAAAGTACTTACAAATGTTGCATCCCGCAGAAGACAACGACCTTTATTGTATTCCGTGTATTTTTATCCAGATGTTATGTTAAGAGTGGGTATCGGTAAACTATGGCTCTTAGCAGAGTTGCCAGGCTGTAGAGTCGAAAATTACATTTCCAGTAATTGGTGATTTCATTTTGATTAAGCCACCTCTGAGTTACTTTATTATCTAATTTGGATGCGTAAACTATTTAAGATTTAAAAAATCTAAACGGCCTCAAAAATTACGATAATTGCCTTAAAACAAAAGTTACTTTCATATTACGTGAAAGGGTCAAAAGTTATGAAAAATGTAAGAAGTGTAACCATCTGGCAACACTGGCTCTTTGTTGAATAAACTTGAAACTTCAGAAAAACATTAAAAGAACATATTACATTGTTAAGTTTAATTGTGTATTTAGAAATATTTGTTTTTAATACAATGTACAAAGTGTTAGACGAAACTGAACATTGTGATGTATTAAAAACGATATTTTACTTTTATGTTATTTTCAAAATATTCCAAAAAAATTCCTCAACAATTTTGTACACATTAGGAAATAACAGCGGATAACTGTTTCGCCAAAACTAAATACAAATCTTAATGGTTCACCGAAACGTATGCGTTTACGTGAACAGTGATTAGGAAGACTTTAACACACGTAAAATACATCGGTAGTGGCTGAACCAAATTTACTACTATACAATAATACAAATCACTTATGTCCGCTACAAATCAATTTCAACTAGACCATAGTTTCCCAAAGTGGTCCATACCGCCCCGCGGAAGCAGTTGGGGGCGTTGATGCTGTCCAGGGGGTGCTAGTGCATTTGAAAAATAAAACCTGAATTATTTATATAAACTACACTACATATATGTATAATTTTTTTCCTTGTGATTTTGTGTTGTTAATGTAAAAAATACGTGTTTTCAATTATTCGTATCGGTTGACTTTTCTCATTGCTACTTCCTGTGTCAGTGGCCTAAATAACTACACCATTTTCGAAACGTTATATCAAGCGAATTGACGTTAATTTGATGTGTAAGAATAATATAACAATTATGTATTGTGAATGATAAATGTATTCAAATGTATATTTAACAACTTTTTCATTGGAAAAAAAACCGACCTCAAAAGTTATCTTATCGGTTTTTTCGATTTTTATGGGATCCCCTCATCAGATTCTGACATCTTGGTGACAATGAGACTGTCACGGGCACCTTTATACATTTTATATTTTCTTTTCTGGTTGTCACGGTGACGGTGATTTGTTGATTATAAATGTATTGTATCAAGTGAAAAGTCGACTTTTATTTGCAGAAAATAATTAGTAATTTATGATAGCCGAAACGAACCCGAATTTCAGGGACCACCGCGAGAATATACCCTTTCAAACAAAAATAATTTTTAAAATCGGTGCACAATTGACGAAAAATTGGTGAATACACAAACAAGCCTATAAAATTTGAGGATTTCCTTCGATTTTCATGAGATCCCCTCATCAGATTCTGACTTGGTGACAATTGGACCACTACGAGAGAGCATCCTTTCAAACAAAGAAATAATTTTCAAAATCGGTCCATAATTGACGGAGATATCTGAAAACATACATAAAACACACATACACAAACACGAACGTATAACCTCCTCTTTTTTGAAATCGGTTATAAAAGAAAAACAATTCATTCATTACCAAACTAAAAGCATTTCTTATAAACAAAGCATATTTTTCTATCTCGGAATTTTCGCGGAATAGATATTTCTAACGAAGCGATCTCATGTATTACCTGTTTATAATTTTGGTACCTAATTCATATAAAATAGTTAGCAACATTTATGTGTCGTAAATTAACATTACAAATTACCTTCTATTATACAACTAGATATAAGTATAATTTGCTATACCCAGCCAATAATAGTGTTATATGGACCCATTATGGATCCCATGTGACATTACCATTTCTTTTAACAACTCGCTCACATTGACGTAATATTTGTAATTTTGACAAAACTACGTTACGTGTCTTAAACATCTGTAACACAACACATAAGTGTTTACTTTTGGAGAAAAATTGGCAGAAATTTTTGATTTATGTGTATTGTAAACATGCAATAAGTTTTATTGACACATCATAAATTTGAAATTAAATTAAAAAATCAATTCACATCCATTAACTGCCTCCGTGGCCGAACGATTGTCATGCCGGACTGCCACGCAGAGGTCCCAGGTTCGATTCTGTGTGAGTTTGGGTGTAATTGTGGTTGTCTATGTGTGTGTCCATGGCACCCGCGATACAGGTTTTCCCTAGTGCGGGGCTATGTTGAGTGTGTGGGTTATTATTATTATTATCTATTTCTTGTAACATTACAAGAAGTACACCACCACCAAAAACCATGCACCAACCCACCACAATATCGAATACAGTTGTACTGTATATAAACTATAGTTGCAATAAAAAATATTATATTCTAGTTTCTACAATTTGTAATAGTGACGTTTTTTTATTGTTTTGTAAAATATAATTGCGCATTTGATATTTGACGATGAAGCCGACGATGGAGAAAACTCTTGCCTTGAAAAGGCCCAAGTTTTAACGTTCAAGGAATAAGTCTGCAGGCAAGGAATTCCTCTCCATGAAGCGAAACGCTTCGTGCGAATCTACAATATGGCCCCAATCGGAGACTGCTTTAATTGTCACACTTAAACGACTAATCATGGACTCTCGACAAGACTGGATTTCTTCTCCACTGACCCTTGCATTGATGAAGTACCTTAAGATTGATGATGTTATGTACCATGGTCTTTTTTAAGTGTATAATATCAATAATAAAAAAATTGAAAAAATATTAATAAAAATCCTTTTTTTTCACACAACATAGTTCATACAAGTTAGTAAGTTATACCTAACACACCTTATAACTATGTTAGTATTAGGAGTAATATGGTACAGTCACTCTACAGACTGACAAATTACATATTATAAGTACATCAAACAGGTGAATCCAGCCCCTCCGGCGCGCGGCGTCTCACTGACTCACACGTAAAACATGTAACTCAGTGAACTTCCGGAACAGTGCTACATCCATCCTGTCTGCTATCATCTTCAGGATCTCGTTGCTGCTGCCTCTCACTCTTCGTACTACTGATGTGGACATTTATTAAAAAAGTATCATTTAAAATGTTGGTAGTGTTCGCTTTGTAGATAAATCAGACATGCACCGTTAAATAAACCGCTCGTCGCGTAGGTCTGACTGCCTCGAAAAATACGGTAACAAGAAATCGTATGAACTTTTAGTACAATTTTATGCCTTTTATATGCATTGTAGTTGAAGACCGCCGGGGTCAAGTGGCTTATATACGGATTTTCATGGGGTCGTCATCACTGAAGTCCCGGGTTTGATCCCCGGTCGGATCAGTGTAGAAAAACGAAGTTTTCTATATTGTCTCGGGGCTGGGTGTTTGCAATACCGTCATTATTTCCGATTTCCATAACACAAGTGCCTTAGCTAATTGCTTTGGTATAAGAGCAACGTGTGTAATGTTTAGTAATTGTACTTGGAGATTATATTTTAGCCAAAATCATAGTAGTTTTAAAATTAGTGTACCTATTGTTTTCTTAACAATAAAAGGACAATCTTTTTACGAAACGCCTACTGATTAAATGTATTTAGATTAGACCGTGTTTTGAAACAAAACCAAGTTACCTATCAAAGCATAGATTAAAAATGTGTCTTGAAATCGTTGTATTTCTATGAATGATGACGAATAACAATAATTCAGCGATACGGTGTGTCGTTAAAACTGATATTCTTAGAAAACAAGAAAACTACACCTTCAAGGACTCCAATCTCCATTCAGACGTAACGTAACCGTAACACCAACGCATTTTGGTTTACAAACAGAAATAGCATAACAAAAATAACTTGTTCAAAGTACAATAAAACCATTCTAATCATAGATGACTGTAGCACCGTCCAATAGACAAATAATATGTACCTAGGTGCCATAAATAAACAATCACTTACCGCCAAACCCACAAACGTAGTCAGTGAGCGGCGTTTTCGGCAGTTTCACTTTCTATTCTTGTCGTGTTCACCTTGGTAGCTTTTTACTGATCTATTACAAAAAAAATAGATAACAGCTAGTTGCTGTTGACTAAATTTAGGCTTTCAATTAGTAATTGATTATTTATATTAAGCACGGTTGCAATACAACTTATGACAAACACTTGAGGCTAATCAAAACAATCTGCTATTAATATGAATTATACTCCCCATAAGCCGTGGTTTGGCTTGACCTACAGCCTCTCAAGCAGAGGCTGTAGGTAGAAATCCAACCTCGCACATCTGAGTTTCTCGGAATTTATGTGCGAATTTAATTTGAAATTTACCTTTACGGTGAAATAAAACATCGTGACAAAACCTGCATATCGAAAAATGTTCACAACTATCGAAAAACGTGTGAAACCACTAACCCGCGTTGAACCAGTGTGGCGGACTATGGCCTACATTCTCGTCTGAGTGGAGACTCGTGTCCAGCAATGGGACGTATAAATGGGTTGATAATGAATATGAATACTTGAAAATGCTTGGGCATACTGTCTTACATTTCAATCCTCGTGTACATTTAATTATAGGTCAAGCTATACAAACAGTTGCATTTCAACAACTTCTGAACGCTATTTAAATTAACGCAAGGTACAACCTTTGTGTGCCTACAACAAAGAAATTTTGAGTTATTATTTCTCTAGATCATAGTTTCCCAAAATGGTCCCAATGGGCGATGAAGAGTCCTGCGGGGGCGGTAAGGGCTTCGGAAGCAATCGGGGCCGTTGATGGGTGCTACCGCATTTGAAAAAAGTAAACTTGAATTATCTGTATAAACTACACTACATATATTTTTTTTCCTTGTGATTATTTATGTTAATTTAAAAAAAACGTGTTGACAATTAATAAAATTATTTTATGTGGTGGTGGGCGTTGAAATTTTTTCATCTTGCCTAACTGGGTCAAAAAGTTTGCTAGGCTCTAGATGAAAAATGATGAGTCTCGTTTTTGAATCGTAGCAATAATTTCGTTTTTTTTCTTCTTGTTTTTCGCAAACACTTTCTGCGAATTTGTTACAAACAGTATCCTTAGTTAGTATACGTGTTGTACAAACAAAAATATTTGGAACACATCAAAACATGCGGAACGTTTCATGACTCATGTAAACTTTGGACGTTGTTCAAATAGTGCTGATTTAAAACTCACTTTTGAATCGTGATTGATTTTGTAAGTTAATTTTGCAAAGATCATAGTAACATACCAGATCATTCATTCATTTAACAGGAATAGCAAAATGAACAACTGATAATGCTACGTTGACCAAACTATTGCTTGGACATATTGCAGCTGTAACTGTTTATGTCATTACAACAAAAGGAAATTAGACAAGTCGAATGTCGGTCATGTTCAACGTGGAAGCTAAATATTAAAAGCTTATTTTTTTGATATCATGCGACGGGAGGAACAAGTAGTAAGCCACACGCCTATCCATGACAGTGGCAGTGCCACATAGAATCGCAAAGATCCGAGGGGTACTACGACTGCGCCTATCACCCTGAGACATAAGTTGACAAGTCCCATGTAGGCACCTATAATATAACCTATTATTTCAGCAGCACCCTCACCCTTCTAAACCGGTACATCAGAAAGAGATAAGGTACTAGGAGTACTTCCTTGAACGAACCTTTTTTATATGTAAGTATATTTGCAAAGATCCTTTCTTGAAATTTCAAAGCGCAGTCCGAGTGCTGCAACAAGTTACAACCGGATACACCGAATTAACACTCGGCATATTTTAGCGCCTCCAGGTTTGTATACGACGGGAAAAAAGAGCCAATTGTGCGATTTTGTAAGGTCTTCAATGCCCTTTGTTCTGGTTCGATATAGTTACACATAATTTAACAAATGCTCATGTGTAACGTGAAGTAAAAACTTTCATAGCGTCGGCTACAAACCTCGGAACGCCGTTTTTGGAGGAAATCCCTTTTTTTTCTTCAAGCGCAATTTTGGGCAATTAAAACTTAAAATAAAATGTCTAAACTAGACTGTAGACCCTTTTTTAGTTATAAATTGAAGGTATTGTCATAGACTCTCATATAATTGTTTCTAGTATTTATGTTTTCTGTACCTACTCAAAACTTAACATCAATGAAGATTATGTTAAGATTCGAAGCTGATAAAAAAAGAAAATAAAAAAATTAAGATGAACATATATTTTCCTTACTTCCACTATTAACAAACAGGAATACTAAGAACGAATAAAAGATTACAAGCTTTACCTACGCATTTAGCCGACGATAGGTTTCTCTCAGGTGGCGTTATGGCAAAAAAGCCTTTTAAACACAAAGATCTGCAATAGGCATATTATAGAGAAATTCGTAAGGTCTCCTGACTCGTTATATATCTTAGTGGCAAGAGTGGTAGTCCCGGTTTTTTTGTAATATCAAGTGACGGAACAAACAAGTCGTGCGCCTGCAGTGCCACTCAGAGCTTTACCAATGCGCCCGGCCCCCTGAGACATAGTCGATAAGTCTCGTGCCTGTAATTTCACCTGCACCCTTACCCTTCAAAACTGGAACGTAGTAATGCTCACAGTGGCAGTACTTCCCAATAGGGCTAGCACGACAATGCGCGACATAAAACGCGATATCTCTATGCGAGAATAGAATAAAGTAATAGCATAGTATCTCGTGCTTTATGTCGCTCTCGCACATGTCGCGCACTGTCGTGCTAGCCCTACCGAACGAACACTTTATTGCTACTAAACTACGGTTTAGCAATAGTCGCTAGTTTGAGTCCAGGGCGGGATAGAAATAATTTTTCTTTGTCAAATAATACTTGATAAAACTTAGTCTTTTTAACCCAACCAACCAATATTAAATTGTTAGATACTAAAAGTTATGAAGTAACTATGACACTGATATGTCTAACACAGATCGACTCGTAACAATGATCGATAGGTAAATTAATTATCAATATATTTAATGAATAGAACAATTACTATTAGAAATGTGTTTAAGTATAACAATCTTTAGTATTTCCTTTTCGAGCAGTATAAATGAACACAATGAACGATGGTATCATAATGCAAAGTTCGCCCGACGACAAAGGACAGAACACACATGGGACTTGTCGACTTGTGGCTTAGAGTGATAGGTGCAGTGGTGGTATCCTTCAGATCTTTGTGATTTAAGGCTCTGAGTGGCAGTGCAACTTGAACTGCAGCTGCAACTGCAAAATGGACAGGCGTGTCTCTTAAATCAGGCGCACAACTTGTAAGTCCCGTCACTTGGTGTCTTAAGAAAGGACGTTTTTGTCTAAAGAGGATTGCCTCAGCAAATGTCAGCTGACGATTTCTCATGTCACCACACTCGAATGCGAATTTTCATACAATGTTTCTGCAGGTCTATTACGACAATATCGTTACTGGTAAGACAAAACTACGGAAGCGTGAAATTAGCTAAAATTGTTAAACAGTATACATATACCGTTCGACTGCATATTTTTTGTCAGAAAAACATATTCCTTTTTCGTATATAAACGCTAAATATAAACTATAGTTCAATTTCCTATAGTTAGTTATATTTACTTTTTCTTGGTAACATACATTGCTTGTCAGTATCAATATAATAGGAGACTCGTTTATTATAATAGTACAACTTCTTTGTGGCAGAACAACAGAATAAATAATAATACTAAGTGGAACTCCCTAGATGTCAAAACAAAAACAAAGTAAACAAAATTCGAAGGAATCAGAACAGGTTTTAACTATTTGTTATCAAAATTGTTCGACTCAGTGGATTGATTACAATAGATTACAAGAATTCAAGCCGATAAACTATCTACAATGTGTTTTTGTTGCTAATATACTATATTTGCTCGTATTTTGTCAGAATATAGATATATTTATATTCCTTCTACGATTATTCACGATTTATCTAATTATAGAGGGATCAACACAAAGCGATAAAACAAGAATTTAAAATACTTATAGTAATGGGTTGGTGAGGAAGTCCCTGCAGTTTAACAGGTTTCACTAGCTAACAAAAAATAACTTTTCTTTAAACATGTTGTCTATGGATATTATATAAGTCATATTTTAGCGCGCATTATGAAAATAGGCGGGAATGTTTATAAATTCACGAAAAACGCCCAAAACTCGTAAGTCGTAAAGTAATAATGGCAAACCATACACACGTAAAGCCGTCAACAACTATTGTAGTTAGGTTGAGATGTATTAGCTCATCCACCGTATTCGCACAATATTTTTATTTCATCTTTTCACTTGTTTCAAAATTCTTTGAATGGATACGACTTTCGTAACGAAGAGACCACCAAACAACACTGAGAGGAGTATTTTATAAGTAAAAACAAGAATTACGAAAGTGGAATTCTAAAATTACCCGAAAGATGCCAAAAGATTGTACTGAATGACCAATACGTAATTGATTAAAATTTGATATAGGTATATTTTTTCATGTTTTTGTTTTATACTTTGGTACCGCACGGAATTTTTGGCCAACCCGATACTTATAGTTATGATATTGAATAACAGAAGTCAGTAAAATTAAACTCAACAATAAAATGTATAAGATCTAGTAGGTAGTAGGAAATTAGTTAGACGCTACACTAAACTTTCTCGCAAATTACGAAACAAATACGCAGAGACACTTTAAAAACTTTATTATTTACCTACGTAATTGACAACACTGACCAAATAACTTTCGAAATCGAAAGTTGACACGAACTTCCGGCAATTCGATATTTAATATTTTAATTAAGATGTAATTAGCCCGTGACATTTCCTGAAAACAAGAATAAATACAATAACATACTTTTATGGTTAATTAAAGGAAAGATTACGCCCCAGTATAATACTCTTATGTATAGCAAAAAATAGAGGACAAAATTCTCTTTTAAAAACAATTAAAATTACTTAACCTGTTCGACTTATCGGAACTTACCCTAATGATGCATAGCTGAAATATCAATAAAAAATTTCAATATTCTGAAAACGGGGTTATGGTTTTTATGATATCTCAAAAAATTATTTTGTCACTTAGCCGCGTATTAGTTAGCGGACGGTAGAAATTATGTACACATGATGTATACAATACATATACATAATGTATACAGAATTAATACAAGAGCATCCAAGAAAACTATTCGCCTTTAAATTAGTCTATTTTCGCACATAGGTGACCTCTTTTCGACAGCCGTTCATTCCAAGTATCTATTTATTTAGATTTCTGTGATTCCAAGTCACTGGCTGAAATATAACACGATAGAACTTATAAAATCATTTTCTTGATTATACGTAAACGAAATATCTCACGAAGTAAACAAACAGTTCGCAATTATTTTAAATCCTTTCACTGTGAAGGACGTGCAGAATAACATCATAGAAGAAATTTAAAATGACACCGAACGAAGTAGCAAAACTAGTTAAACAAAGTTGATCACACAGATCATTAGCGTAACTAACGAAGGAATATACCAATTTCGTTATTTCACTAATATTAATGATTACCTATTTATTTACCTACTACCAAGATATTACTTGGTTGAATGGAGCGTTTTTTTATGATACCAAGTGACAGAACGAACTAGTCGTGAGCCTGGTGTTAAGTGACACGCCTGGCCATAGCAGCTTCAGTGCCACTCAGAGCTTTAATTCGCAAAGATAGGAGGAACACTGCCACTGCGCCTGTCACCCTAAAGCATAAATTGACAAGTCCCATGTGCCTGTTATATCACCACCACCCTTATCCTTCAAAAACGGAGCGCAGTAATGCTCATATTACTTTACTTGGCGGCAGAAGCAGGTAAGAGAACAGTACTTTCCTGGACGAATTCCACAAGGAAGACTACTAAGGATACTATAATAGTATAGAATGTGCCGTCTTTGGCAAGAAAGCGACCTTTTCTTGGACCAAATCCCTATTAATCCTTTGCAATAAGTTACAGATGTTACCACACAATGTGCTTTTTTAAGATCAATATAATATTTATTCTTAAAAGGCCTTTAGATAACTACGCTACTGAGTGCGTCTCGAACCAAGCCCTCTCGCGTGTCAATGCGACCCGAGACACAATGACAATCTGACATAACATCCTTAATCGCTATTGCAATATAATAAATAGGTACCTATGATTTACTCTTCGTGCGATTATGATTGTACTCGCGCGGAGACTCCTATTGGGGTTTCACATTACTTTATAGTTTAGAGAGAAGTGATTAGACCACACATGAGTCTAAAATATAAACCGTACTATAAAAATACGACAATACGACAAGTCACGACAGAAGCTATTTTCAAAATGAGTGTGAAAGAGCACTACGTATCCACTGTTCCATCCATTTTACAGGTATTATATCATCGAGTACTATGAAATATGTATTTATCTAAGTATACATATTGTGTACTTATAATAATTTATTGCTATTGGTATTATTTTTATTACGTAGCCTTTATTTTGTTGTTCACGTAAACCCGTTATTGTAATCATTGTGCCCTGTATTAGATCTGCAGGAAGAAATTTCTTTTAGAAATAATTTTAGTGAAATTACACGCACATGGGACTTGTCAATTTATGTCCCAAGGTGACAGGTGCATTGGCAAAGCCTCTAGGATATTTGCGACTTAAAGCTCTGAGTGGCACTGTTATGAATAAGCGTGTCGTTTACTATTTACTAGGCGCACAACTCGTTCACCCCGTCACTTGGTATTATGAAAAAAAGCTTTTGTTTGTGTTTTCCTTTTTACTAAATGTGATATGTGTTTTCCTGTGCAATAAATGACTAAAATATAAAATAATA